AATATTGTTTATAAAATAGTAATATGCTTCTTCAACCCCAACTCTACAGAGAATATTAACTTAACAAATAGCTGTTAGGAGAAATATTTTCCTTTAGAAATTGCAGTTGCAAAGAAAATGTCATGTCATGTGTGTCTATGGGCATAAATTACCATTATATTAACTAAGCCAATGATTACCAGTTTCATTAATTACTAAATGCTTTACAAACAATATTTCATTAAATACTTACAGAAATCCCATGAAAACAGGTATATTAACCCATTTTATAGAATTAGATCTAAGTTACCACAAAGTCCATGCTCTTAACCACTACACTATGTCATACAATAAAAACACCAGAACAAAAAAGCCACAATCATTTCTATCTTCATGAAATCACATACTTAAGTAAAGAGAACTGGTACATCAAAGGACTCCAAACTATGTTCTGATCTTTGGTAATAAAATTGACTTTAAAAAAGTTATTATATAAGTGCTTACAATTCAGTTATCTTTAAATCTTTAAAAAATTTTACTTTTCTCTGATTTTAAAAATAACATGTTGCTCACTGAAAATAAATGCAAAAAAGTAAAATTACAATAAAAATATCTATAATTCCATCATTCAGGAGAACCATTACTGACATATTCCCTCTGCATATATTTTTATGTAATTGTGAACTACAGAATTTAGTTAGGTTTTGATGATTGTTCTTAAACATGCCAAATATAATGACTGGACTCAAGTCTTTTCAATTCACAGAGATAAATTGCAGTAAATTTTCGGAAGGTAGAAAATTATTGTATTATAGAGATATGTATTTTCAGTATCTTCCCAAATTTTCCAACTATAGAATAACAAGCAAAGAATAACTTATCTCAGTGGTATTAGCTCCAAAGTATATTGGTCATAAAAGAAAAGTAATTCTTGAATTTATCTTTGTATCTTTGTATGTATATACATACACACACATGTATATACACATACACTACACACAGATACTCTTACACACATACTAAACATTTTTTGGCTGTGTTAAGGCTTATCACGTTCTGAAGACTTGATAATACTATAGTATTAAAAAAAATCATGTATTATTAGAAAAGTTAAAGGAGAGAATTTTCTCTGCCCAAGTTAGACTTATGAGTGATTAAACTGCAATGTTTTGCCCTATGAATAGGTTAAATATTTGCTTGAGACAGAATATTCAAAATAAGCAAAATTCTTTACAGGAATCATATCAGTCCTGAGTATGAATTCAGAAAAGAAATTCTACCATTTGTAAAATGATATCACAAAAAGGGGAAGAAAAAATAGTGACAAATAGCAGAATAATTTAAGGCAAAGATTCCAGGTATTATGTCAAAGTGTGTATAATGCCACATTACTGGTGACATTAAGGTGACTTACACTAAAATATCACTTTTTAAACTATCACTGGACATAATAATTTATGTGACAAAAAAAGGAAAATTTAAAAATATACAGAAATCCTCACAGAAAATAGAAGGCAGATATGGATCAAGAAGTTTTTAAAATAAAGTTTTCTAGTGCTTCCTCTTATGTAAGAGCTTTAAGCTATCATAAATTCCAGGAACCTATTTATATTGCCTTAGTGTTATTTATTCCAAATCATACTAATCCATGACAAATAATATTTTTAATGTAAAAAACAATGTAGACTGAGAGTGGGTAAGAATAAGAATGTTCAAAAAAACTGTACTTTGAAAGTCAAGAAAAGTATGATCTTGAGAGTAACCTAAAACTCTGTGTAGACAAAGGAGAATTAATAGATTCTAAAAAATATTTTTGGATTTTCAATTTACGTGAAAATATATGATACAGACTGTGTGTGTGTTTGTGTATTATACTGAAAATCAAATTATCGGGTATTTCTAAATTAGAAAAACCGTATATACTTCTTTTGGAGAGTGAAACAAACCGTTTATGTCCTTAAACAGGAAATTTTTGAGCCAAAATATTCTCATCCTGTCCAACTAGAAATGAGGAATATAATAAGTCAAATGAGATCAAAAAAATAACTAAGGCCTATTCTCCATAAAAGAGAATATAAACGTTATACATCCTTTTCTTACAGAACATTATTTGTCTGACTGTGAAGAGAAAAGGCTATGAGGTAATTACATATAATTTTAAACAGGATTCCTTTTAATTTTACATTTATACTTCTCTTAAAAAATAGCTTTAGTAGGTTACTACCTAAATCAAAGTCATGATTTATATAATCTCTTACTTCAGAGATTTAGCTAATCTTATGAATAAAACAATGTTTCAAAACTGTATTTCAAAAAACTATAAAGAAATGGGCAGATACTTTAAATTTAGCACTGATTTTGAGTGGGAGGGAAGCATATTATGCCATATTGTCTATAAATATTTATTGAATAAATAAACATGGTTCAC